TATATATATATATATATATATATATATATTAGTATGTATTTTTAGATAATGGATGTATTCTCCTTGGTAAGCTATCTGAATGTTCGCTATCTGATTGCATTAATATTAGAGAGCTCTCAAAGAAAGGGCATTGCTGCTAGTATTTCTTTAAAAAAAAAAAAAGTTGTATTTATTCATTGACAGCTAGCCAGTGTGGGGATCCGAACCCTTGACCTTGGTGTAATAACCAATTGAGCTAACTGGCCAGCTCAGCTGCTAGTATTTCTTAAGAGTAGTAACCTGGGTTTGAATCCTAGCTTTGCCCCTGATTAGCTGTGGAACTTATTGGTGCTTCAGTTTCTTCATCCGTAGAATGGGAATAAAAATAATATCTACCTCATAGTTGTGATAAGGATTGAATGAATTAATATATGTAAAAGCATTAGATGAGTGTCTGGCACACATTAAAAGCTGTATAAGTGATAACAGCTATCATTATCGTCATATTATTATTGTTGTTATTTGGCAGAATAAGAGTAAGTTGGGTAAGGTTTCAAGATCGGATTTTCTCCTCTTCAAGCCCTGAAAATTGCTCTAAAGTTTGAAAGTAAAAGGAAGGAAACTAAACCTTTGTTGATCATCAGCTATGTGCCAAGCAGTATACTAGCATTTTACCTGCATTATCTTTTAATCCTTACACCAGTGCTATGAAGTAGATTAGAAAACAGGCTCAGAGAAGTTAAGTGAGGTCTCATACTAGGAAATGGACACCATGATGTAGCTGGTCTCCCTTACTTCACATCCTGTACTCTTGCCTTGCATGACACCAGACAGCCTGAGAGTTCAGCATGTTTCACTAATAGGAAAGCTTGGACTATGCTTTCCTGATTGTTAAGGACTTTATTTCTAATGACCATTTAAAGGGATGTCATCCACATTTTTAGTTTGTTCCTACTGTACTGATTTGTTTTACACATCTGTAATTCCATCCCCCTCCCATTCAAAAGTGTGTTGTAGTAGTTTAAATGATATAAGCGGGACTTAGCTGGAAAATACCTGAATGTGTGGAGTCTTATTAGTACTTTTCAGAATTGAGCTGACTTTTAATTTCCCACTTTTTAAGATCACCATCATAATTTTTTTTTTTTTTTTTTTTGTCTTTTTCCATGTCCGGCAACGGATCGCATCCCTCAGTGTCGCCCCCGTACCGGACCGGGACCGGCAACGGGATCGCAGCCCTCGGTGTTGCTCCCGCGCCTCGCTCAGCCAGTGAGCGGGAACCGGTCTGTATGTGGGATCCGAACCCTCGGCGGGAGCGCCGCCACACTTCCCAAGCGGCGCACTATAGCAGTGCGCCACCGGGCCGGCCCACACCATCATAATTATTGAAGTCATTACTTTTCAAAGTAATAAGTTTCGTAGGGCTTTAAATTTCATGTGCTTACATATCCTAGGTTTTATTTTGTGTAGAACTGATAATTGTAGTAAGCTTTTGGGAAGCATCCAAAATTAATTAAAGTAACTTGGATTAAACTTAATCAAGTTTTAAGCTTTGGTCTTCTTATGTTGAAAGTGGGAACATTTGATAGGAAAGAGGGACATTTTATGGATGTGAAACCCCCATCCATACAGTGTCAGCTTAGCTTTCCTGGATAAGGTTGCCTCAGACCCCCCAACCTAGAACGTGTGAAAGTTGTAATTTCTCCCTAAAATTATTTGAGTATTTTCTGGGTTTCATGATCTTGCAACCTCTTCTGCCTCTTGGGCAGCTTTCTTGCCTTGTGCCACTGATTTGAACTGTAGTGCACACAGATGTGAAACTGAGCACCTTCTCTGATTTTCAGAAGGGCCCTATTCACAGGGTATTTGTGGGTTTTCTATAACTAACTGAAGAAAGGGAGCAAAATAGAGGTGGGGTGAGCCTTACTTTGCATTAGATGCAAACAATTTTCCTAGTAAGGTATCCCTGTTCTTGAAATGTTTTCAGACTTCCCTTGACCTGAGAGCTTTACCCCCACCTAATCCCAGCTTTGCTCCATTATACTAACTATTCTTTCTTCTCTTCCTTTCCCTCTCTCAATCATTCTTCTTCCCATTCCTTTCAGAGATAAAACAACAAATTCTTCTCCTTGTCTAATTCAGGATAATTTCCCTTTCTTGACAACCATTTTGGAATCTTGACAGCCATTCTGCAGGGAACTATCCACTCCAAGTGGACTGGATTTGGGGAGGATGGGAGGTGATATACTGAGGGAACATATTTTCACACAGAAAGTTTCTTCCGAGAGGAATTCTTGTGTTAGCTGTTAGGATGACAAAATAGAGAGTTTTCCATCTTATTACATGATGACTGAGCATACCAATCTCAAGCTTTACTGAGTCCTGCTTCCTGAATAAAGTGTCAGAAACCTAAAAAATGGTTATACAAGTAATTTATCCAAATCAAACTCTAGATATCTTTGACTAATATAATTTCCCTGTGTATAGAATATATACTGCTTTTAAAGAAACATGCTGTTTACATAAAGGTCATGAACCCACTTAGCACAAGAGAGTTGCCTCATGCCATCTTGTATTATTATGTGTTTTGCTTATGCAAAAATAATTTTAGCTTTTGATATTTGAGTATGATTGTTACCATGAGTATGTTATTTTTTCTGACAGTTTCAGGTTATATGCAAAGACAATGTATAATCTTTAAAACCTAAAACAGAAGCAGAAGTGCATTTTTTCAGGAAGTAAACCTTTAATACTTCCACTTATGGATCTGTCTATCCTTAAGCGACTAAATCTTTGATTGCTTTTAGCCAAAAAAAAAAAGGCTCACAATTTTTTTTCACTTATATCAGGTTTGAGGACTGTAGGGAGTTCACTGCATTGTAATATACTGTTCTTCTTTTGAGTTTGTAAAGAATTCATGAAATTGATTTTTCTTGTCATGTATAAGCCCAGCCTTACAGATTCTTTACCCTTGTAGGTAATAGACAAGAGGAAACCTAACCAATGACTGTGGAATGATATGGAAGAAGATGGAAAAAACTTGTTTAATGGGTAAGAATTAAACTATAATAAAACATTATTAATGAAAACTATTCATAATAGCATTATGTGTGGCCAATCTGTAATAGGTAGCCAAGGTTGGTATACTACCAGGGTAAGTGATCAATCACTGTCTTTGTCTTATCCCTGTTCTGAACTTTCACTACCTGCTTCCATCTTAACCTTGTGAATTTTTCAATACCATGAATTAACTTAAACTAAGAGGGGACACAGCCATATTCAAAGATAAAATGGGAGTTAGAGATCAGCAACCATACTAAAACAAGTCTAGGAGATAGGTCTTAAAGCTTGTTGGTGGTTGGAGAGAGACTCTGTCATGACCTGTCAAGAGTGATTATCCACTCCTTTTTCTCCAAATACTGACAGCTGCTGTGATGTTAGGCTCACTATGGGGATCCTATTCATTTGAGCAGGTGCAGATGTGTGTCAGGTGGTAATCAAATAGAATTCCACAGAAAGCCCAATAAAAAACTTGACTAAGTTTATGCGATATAAAATCTTTTTAATTGCACAAGTCCATACATTCTTTTTGTCAGTAATGCAAACATTATAGATAACTAAAACCCTCTACCTGAATCTTAGTTCCCTTCCAGAGTATATAAGTGTATGGCATGTATTTGTGCAACCTTCTTTGTCTTATGGTTAAAAACATGGGCTTTGGAGCCAGATTGTTTTTAACCAGCTACTATTAACTTGACATTGGGGCAAGTTAATATCATTCTGCTTCAATTCCTTGGGTATAAGATGGGGACAATAAAATGCCTATCTCATAGCAATGATGAGTGTTAATTAATCTATTTAGAATTCTTGAATTAATGCCTGGGGAACATAGTAAATATTTAGTAAATGTTAGCTATAGTTCTCATTCCAGTTAGCATTTTTATGTACCAAACATCCACATGAGTTTTTTTCTGAAACACTGCAAGTAAAACTGTCATGGATAAGGTTAACCCTAGTGGCCAAGAAAAAAAATTTTTTTTTAATTTTTTAATAAAAATTTTATTTTTGGGTTCAAGCTTCATTTCTCTCAGAGTATCCTGCTAGAGTATTTGTGAGAATTATGAATAGAATTATGTACCTTCAACTCTTACTGCATATCTTATGGTATATATGATGCTTACCAGTATGTGTGAAAAAACAGCCATCTTCAGGCTGTAACAGTATCAATCTCAAAGCAGGGTGCACAATTCTTTTGTCTCTAGGTAGTCGTAGTGGATTGAATTATGTCCCCCCAGAACTCCCTTCAATCATTCTTCTTCCCATTCCTTTCAGAGATAAAACAACAAATTCTTCTCCTTGTCTAATTCAGGATAATTTCCCTTTCTTGACAACCATTTTGGAATCTTGACAGCCATTCTGCAGGGAACTATCCACTCCAAGTGGACTGGATTTGGGGAGGATGGGAGGTGATATACTGAGGGAACATATTTTCACACAGAAAGTTTCTTCCGAGAGGAATTCTTGTGTTAGCTGTTAGGATGACAAAATAGAGAGTTTTCCATCTTATTACATGATGACTGAGCATACCAATCTCAAGCTTTACTGAGTCCTGCTTCCTGAATATGGTAATTGAAAAGTGGAGCCTTGAAGAGGTGATTGGATTGTAGGACCATGCCATAGTGAATGGATGACAAATGGTGGTCAGGCGCGTGGTTCTAAGGGCTTTAAAAGAAGAGGAGAGTCTGCCTTTTGCTCTCTCTGCTCTCTCTGCTTCCATCGTCTTGCAATGTGAGACTGCTGGGTCACTGTCTCCACCACCAGATGGACTTTGGACTTCCCAGTCTCAGAAACTGTAAGCAATAAATTTCATTTTCTCTATAAATCACCCAGTTCAGCGTACTTTGTTATAAGCAACATAAATGGACTAATACAGTAGTTATGTTGAATTTTCTGTTAAGATTCTGCTAATCTATTATAAAGGACAATTTTTTTTTCTTGTTGCACAGAATCATAAACGTTTTGCAAATATCTTTGATACCTTTTCCATGGCTTATCAACACTTTCTTAGGTGGTACAGATTACCTACTTTGAGAAGGAAGCACACTGAAACAGTCATCTCTTTTTATTATTTCTCTTTTGTATTGTTCTGGGCTTCTATGAGATAATTATGAACTATTTTGTCTGCTGTGACTATAGTGAGGTTATTTTAGAAGACTAATGTATAAAAACAGAAGTTAACATTAACTGAGTATTTATTGTGTCAGGCAATATTTTAAGTGTTTTACTCATTTATTCATCATCACATTTAATCCTGTCATCCACTTATGAGGTAGATACTGTTATTTGTTTTAAAACTGAGAAAAGTTAGTGCATATTAAGTAACTTGCCCAAAGTCACATTATAAGTGGCAACTGCAGGATTTAAACCTAAGCCTATGCTATTGACCAGGGGAGTGCTGGCCTAGTTAGAAGGTTTGCTTTTAGAAGGTTTGCTAAGGTGGGTGTGAATTTAAGTAAGACATAAAGCTAAATATCGCCTGAAAAAGTCACTGTTAACTAATTTGTTTTTGCTTGCCTGTGGGAAGGAAAATTTGAAATTATGTATCTTCTTAAGTATGGAAAAAATGATGTAGATAATTATTCATAAATAATTATTTTTATTGACCGTACTTAAGTGAATACAGCTGTTTTGCTTCATTAGAAATCACCTGAACTAGCTAAAGAACAACACACGTGTAGAAGGGATTAGAATACATTGATTCTTGGATTACCATTTAGCTGCTATTCATAGAAACATGCAGACAGAAAGATTGAACTGTGCAGCAGTTTGGAACTGATTGGTAATTGGAAATTGCTCTTTTGTCCTGTTAAATAATATTTGAATGACCGTCAGCGGAAAGTTGTGCAAGAAAAGAAAAGCCAGGAGAAAGGTGACTTATGGGTCTTATAATTAGAATGTCACTTATAAGTGATGGTCTAAAAAGAAAATGTACATTAACAGTCGACATTTATATAGGAACAGGAAGGAGTTATAGTACGTGGTTTTTGTTCTGTGGTCTGTCTTGTCAGAGAGAAGCATTAGCTTTTCTTTTCTTCAAATAGCAACTTATTTCCTGTTGAAATACGGTAAAAGTACAAAGAGTAAGTGACATTTAAAGTACCAACAAGTACACTGATAAATTGTCTTGGCCTTCTTGCAAGTATGGCTGCATGTAGTCAGTGATGTTTTCCTCTTCTGTCTTTTTTACCCCCTTCTGTTTGAGAATCCCTTCTGAATGTTGATCAAGGCTTTGGCTCTTAGTGTACATATCTTTTAAAACAATGTCTTAAAGGGTGGTCCAGGGACCCCCCCCAAGACCCTTTCGGAGGCTGATGAGGTCAACACTGTTTTCAAAACAATACTAAAATGTTATTTGCTTTTTCCACCCTCATCCTCTCACAAGTGTGCGATGAAGTTTTCCAGAGGCTACATAATGTGCAACTGACTGCAGAAGCAGACAGGGGAATCCAGCTATCTTCCTTAATCCAAACATGAAAGAGATTTGCAAAATGTAAAATAAGGCCACTCTTCTCACTAGATTTGCTGTGAGAAGCACTGGTTTGTTTCTACATCAGAACATTAGTGACCCCAGTGTGGGCCAGAAAGTCATGGTGTCCTCACCCACTGATATGTACCAAATTTAGAATGTTCTTTGTATGGGTTGTCTCTGACTTTGGAAAGGATCTTTTAGGACAGCCTTTTATTTTACAATATTAACTGAACACCTACTATGTTCCAGCCCTGTTCTAGGGGCTGGAAACAAAGTAGTGAACAAAATAAAAACAAAAAAATCTCTATCCTCATGGAGCTTCCATGCTAGCTTTCATTCTAGCCTTCGAGACCTTTGCCCTGGACACAGCTCCCTCTACAGGGGAGTCTCAGAATTGATAGTCACTGTGGTTTGTAAACACTGACTGGTGTTTCTCAGTGGCTGAGTGCTGAGCATAAAGTGCCTTGACATTTTGTGATTTTTGATTACTAGAAAAAAAGCACCAGGGCCAGCCCATGGCTCACTCGGGAGAGTGTGGTGCTGATAACACCAAGGCCACGGGTTCGGATCCTGTATAGGTATGGCTGGTTAGCTCACGGGTGAGCATGGTGCTGACAACACAAAGTCAAGGGTTAAGATCCCCTTACCAGTCATCTTTTTTTAAAAAAAAAAGTGGTTTACGATTTTTCAGATCTTACACAGGATCCTAATATAACACTAAAGATGGGCCTATCCGGTTATTCTTGTGGTTGATTCTTGTTTTGTTTTCGAAGTTAGTGCTAGTTTTGTCAAGAAATTTAACTTTAAAGAAAATTAAATATCGACTCATGTTAAATGTATTCTAATTGTTTTTTATTTGGAGAAAAATGTTCTTATGTGCACGAGATCTTTGCCTGGTGAGTTGCTCCCAAGACCCTATACTTTAAAAGACTTTTATACAGAAAGAGATTACTTGGCTCATTGGATTGAGTGACTTAATAATGACTTGAAGGTTAATTAATACTGCTGTCAGATTCCTTCTCACTGGCTATGTCTGTCTTATCACTCACTAAATTAAGCCATTTCTGAGTGTAAACAATTGGGAACACCATTAGAATATTAATGGAAAAAGAAACTGACATTCCAAATGTGAGTGACCAAAAATCTTCTCTAAAAATTATTTTAATTTTAATATACACTTTAGGAGCTCTTTTTTTTTTTTTTTTAATTGGGTGGCATCTTGTCCTTCCCTTTATTGAAAGTGTAAAAGGAGCTTTTTAATCAGAAAAACCAAATGGTTGTTGTCCATTCAGCATTGCTACCTGCTAGGCACCCCATTCTCAGTTGTGCCTGGTGTACCAAAGACCAGAATGTCTAAGGTTCAAATAAAATCTCAGTCTTCTGCCAAAGTGGGTGAAACATAGTCATTTGGCTACTCAGGGCTGAGGAGGCGGAAATTGTAAGGGATCCTCATGAAGGCGTTCAACCAAATTCCTTTTTGGTGGTTGTTTGTTTGTTGGGGGGAGGGGGCAGGGTTCTATAC